ATAACGGCTCAGAAAACATGTACGCGCAGGGGCCAGGGCGCAGCACACGGACACTCGAACACAAGCCTCGTGATCTTCCTCCTCCTCTAGCGGCCGTTAACCAGCGCCACCAGGCGATCGCGCAGCGCGGAGCCCTGTGGCAGCCGGGCCGCCCGGTCGGCATCCCCGGCGTTCGGGTCGACCTCGGGCTGGGGCCGCTCGAGCTCTCCCTCTGGTTGTGGCCGCTCGTCGGGTTCTGGCAGATTGGCCAGCAGACAGATTGTGGAGGATGCAGCACGTCACCACCATCTGGCATGCCTTCACAGGCGCATACTGCAAGACGCCGCCGGACTGATCCAAACACCTGAAAGGGGTAGACGTAAAATATAAAAAGTATTAAAATATCATGATGAAATCAGCCAGAACATGGGATCGTCTACACCGTTATGACAACACGTTATTAACAACACCGTTATTACAGACATTCAATCACATGCTACACCTCTGCATTTTCAGCTTATTCATTGCTCATGAGGCAATTAGGTATTTAATATGGTAGGGGGAGATCGCTTCCGGTTCCCCAACCTGGAAATGATTTAATGATCAAGTATAATGCAATAAAAGATGCCACTCACCTACCTATAACGCGCCTTCAGTATGCCGAAGCACCGTTCTACAACAGAACGGCACTGTGTGTGTTTCTTGTTGAAGGCTTGCTTGTCCGGCGTCATGCCTTCTCGATGTCGTTCGTCGAAGGGGACGATCAGCCAGGAGCGAAGTGGGTATCCGCTGTCTCCTAGCAGGTACCCCAGACGGCCGTGGGATGACGCCAGCATTTGGCCCAGTGCACTTTGTTCGAAAACAAAAGCGTCGTGACTGGCACCCGGAAACTTGGCGACGACGTTTGTGATGAGCATGTTGCTGTCGTACACTCCTTGTACGTTGATGCTGTGCCTCTGGTGACGATTCACGTAGAGGTGTTCATTCACGACGGGAGCCTTGATGTTAACATGTGTGCCGTCCACACAGCCTAGCACGTTTGGGAGGCCAAACTTGTCCCTGAACTGGGGCTCTGTGTCAGCGATTTCTTGCTCAGTTCCAAGGAAATTAATGACATTGGGATAGGCAGCACGTACAGCCTCACAAAACCGCTGGAGGACGCGGCTGACGGAGGGCTGACTGACGTCCACCACAGTGTCGCCGGATGGACGCTGAAAATTGCCCTCCGCCAGGACACGCAGCGCGCATGCCACTTGCACATCTGGTGATATGTTACGACCTCGGCTGCTCCTTGCCATACTATCACGAACTTGTAATGTCAGTTCAAGTAGCATGTGTCTTGGCATTCGATACCTTTTGACAGGGCTGCGGAGTCGGAGTCGGAGTCGGAGTCGGAGTCGGAGTCGGAGTCGGAGTCGGAACCGGAGTCGATATTGGAAACCCCAGCCGGAGTCGGAGTCGGAGTCACCGAAAATCTGTCGACTCCGCAGCCCTGCCAGGTGTGCGGAGTCGGAGTCGGGAGTTGGAGTCGATCGGAGTCGACATTTCTGCCCGGAGTCGGAGTCAGAGCCGGAGTTGGTTTTTGAAAGCCGGAGTCGGAGTCGGAGTCGGAGTCGCCGTAAATCCATCGACTCCGCAGCCCTGCCTTTTGATAAGGTAAAGGTCTGGCTGATCGAAAACTCTCCCAACTCTCTGCAAGGCCGCTGGGGATTGTCGTACCTACACATCTCGTGCGTCGGGATCGAGCACTGCTAACAATTCCATTACCCAGGGCTTGTGTAGATACTATGTTTTTTTTTAATCCAAATAACATGCTACGTAAAAACCAAACGTCTCAAGACACAAAGCTGGGATATCATTCGGCTTCTCTCTGGCCTGCACTCCCTTGCACACCTTACCAAAGCCCTAGGACCCAAGGCCATAGGACCTAAACTTTATCGTTAGTTGATCGTCGTGTGTGCAACAATGAGATGCTTTCCCTAAAATAATCGCGTGTTTTATCTATCGATAGTCTTAACCTAAAATGAGCCTCGCTGACACATCACGTTCGATATCATTTAGTGTTTGGGTGTAAAAGATCAAAATCAATTATTTGTTTTCGAAATATGATCAAAAAGTTGAGTTTAACAAACTTTTACCCACATTGTTGTTTGCAATGGATTCTCGGCCACGTAAGTAAATAAATGTAGTTAAGTGTATTCCGTGCTTGCCTCGCAGCCGTTCCAACCACACTGCTGGTCCTCTCATGGGACTCGGCGCCGCCGCCACTGGCGTACCACGACGGCCCACTCCAGTACATAAATCAGCATTCAGCATCGGCTAGACTGGGCTAGACGGCGTCCCCCTGGCACATAACTGGGCCACGCCGCGTCTCATCCGGTCACACAGCTAACTACAGAATTACAAACTACAATTAATTAGGTATGTACATCAATACCAATATAGTTATGGCAAAATTCAACATCAGAATCCAATGCCAGCAGGGGATAGCCGTCTAAAACGCCTAGGGTAGGTAAAACGCCCCATGCCAGTATGTCCATCCTGTATAGTATAGTCCATCGCTCCATATCCTGTATGTACGCTCTATATCCTGTCCATTCTGTATAGCCAAGACACTGACCAGGACGACTCGCCAGGACCGCGACCTCTATGTGCCCCGGTCACGTACCGAAATGGGGAAGAGGCGCTTCTGTTGTCGCGGTCCTGCTCTCTTCAACTCACTACCATCGATACTGACTGAGCTACCTGTGACCGTGTTCCCTCACCACCTCAAACGTTACCTATCTGAACCACCGGACTAATGTTTACTTTTATACCGTACTGTGACGTTTTATCGATTTGACCCATTCACCTGTGTGCTGTATGTTCCATCCCATACTTTTTATGACTTTGTATCTTTGACGAGAGGTGGTAATAGCCACAAGCACTGTGGATCGCCTTAATAAATGTCTATGTCTATGTCTATGTCTACCGACTGAGCTAAGGGAGAGATTTAGAGAGCTACTAAATACTTTTACTCTATTATTGTATAGATACTATTACTCTTATCAATCGCTGAAAGTTTTAAGGCAATCGTTCAGTCGCTGTAGCTATGATGATTGACAAGCATTCTAATTCTTGAGGTGAGGCCACTTGAGTGTTCTGGTGACCTGACCTTTGAGAGACCTTGATCTGAAATTTTCACAACACTTGCAGAAAAGATGCATTAGCCGTTTTCACGACGGGCTATCCGGCGAATGAACCTAATTGGACCAAATCTGCACCTTATCTCTTTTACAGCAAATATCTTCATTTTATGAATTTATTTCAGTGTTACTGTTACAATGATACTCTCTGATATGACAAAGCAGGCATATAAGCAATTAGCGCAACCATAGCTGATAGCTACTAAGAGATACACTGAACCTAATTTGACCAAATCTGCACCTAATCTGCACCAAATTTGCACCAAATGTGTACCAGATGGCCGTCGTGAAAACGGCTATTAACAAGTTTACCAGAAAGGGTTTTTGAAATATCTATGAAAACCGCAGGGTGGTGTCTAAACATCCCCCGGCATTGTCGCGGGTTAAGGAAAGGAACCCCACCTTAACCCTCGCCCGTATAGGGGGGGGGGGGGGTCGAACGGACCCCCCATGGTTTTTCGCAAATAACTCGCGTAAAAAGCGGCCGATCGCGACGAAACTTTCAGTACCCTCGCGTTTATCAATTTTACACCTACCCTGAAAATTTCATGACCCTGACTCAAATGACCTTTGACCTGTGACCTACTTTTCGAGACCATGTTTGGCCGGAATCGCGATTCGGCGTATGTCGGCTCGCATTAGCCGCGCGTTTGCAGTCTTTTCGTGGTTTCAAGCGTTCAAACATGTGATATGATGTTGCCCCCATGCATTAGGGTGGGTGTCAAGGTCACCTGAAGGTCAGGTCAGGTCATTGACCTTTTTTATAAATTTAGTCCGAACCTTTTGATGGGAAGGATTCACAAGGACAGAGCCACCGCTAAGCGAAGCTTGTTGCGATGACCCTGCCCTCTACCCTCCGATCGCGCAATTCCGATTCTATGGCAGAATAGAGTCCAAAGTTTAACGTGCGCACAAAGCCGCGCACGGCCGGTCCCCTCGCTGATTTCGCCTGGCTACGGCCTGCCACCAACCGCAGCCATACCTGTCAGGAGGCCCATAAATGTCGAGCGCCCGTCGCGCTTCGAACCCGGACTGTCACAACCGGGAACGCGTGCTCTCACCACGCGGAGTCCAACGCTCTAACCAACTGAGCTACGAGACCTTTGATGACCTCGGTTCACTTTTTCGAGTTTTACATGTTTCTAGACCAGTTTTTGGAGCTGAATTCGAATTTAGCAACCATATGAACATTTACGAAGTAGTTTTGGTGCCTTCGTAACATGTTACGAAGCTGTTAGAGGCGGTTGCCACCTACTACGAATACCCTTACTGGTTGACTTGACCTGACCTGACCCGACCTGGCCTAAATGCATGAAGACATCATCTGTGATCAAAAGTAACATGATATTCGTGATCAGCACCCCGAAAAACCCCATAGCAGCCACACTTTACGACGTTCTGACAGGTCCCGATTTTCCCGACTTTTGGTCATTGACCTGACCTCCAAGGTCAACCAATGACCTAGGACCTTAAAATTGGGTATCATCGGCTTCCTCTCGTCACGGGCAACACGCTTTTTTTCCGCGAAGCTCTAGCTCGATCAGGGACGAAACGGCAAGGGGGGGTCCAACGGACCCCCCCCCCCCCCCTTATACGTTCGCGGCTGGAAAAACACCAATACGGGCGAGGGTTAAAATAGTACATGCTTTATCGGTTTAGTCTTGATATGATCATTTGAGATATAATAATTAAGTTTCCATAACCTAGTGAACCTACTTAGTGATAACACTGCAGTGTTTCAGCAGGAACTTTAGCTGATCATCGCTATTGTGTGCCGCTGAGCCCTGCAGCGGGCCTGGTGTGTGCAATGGGTGCCCGGCCGCGGCGCCGACTCACTTTCTGTGTGCGTCGTCACGCTCGTAGTCGGGCGGACAGTCGATGCGGTTGCAGCGGTAGCCGCCGCGCGTGTTGAGACACACCTCGTCCGAGTCGCACACGGAGCCGGCCGAGCACTCGTTCACGTCTGCGGCCGGGCGGAAGGTCACACTCACGGACTCTGTGCGGGTCGCGTATTCGCCAAGTGTATTACACGAATCAGCCCATCAACTAGCGACATCTCTAGTGCGACGTCATAGCCATGCGACGCGACAATGCATGCATTGAGGCTAGATTTGAGTTGACTGTTTCCAATTGTATATGGCTAACAATCAATTCCATGTGTCGTCGTAGCCGAGTGGCTAGAGTCTCGGTCTGGTGATTGAAAGATCGGTGGATCGATTCCTGCATTGGCGGTTCTTCTTCTCTTAAAAATGAAGTCGGTCGTAGACACGCATTTTTGGCCCACGTTCGCACGCCAACATCGTACGCCCAATAAATCTATGACCAGTATTCATCTTATTAAGGAATAAGCTGCAAACAAACTGACTGCAGTTTGATTGCAGTATGTACCCGAACTACCGATTTTGTTACGGCACTGTCGATATTCGTCAAAGTCGGAAGAGCTTTTATGAAACCCAACCGAATGACAACGGATTCCTGCATTATTTCATCGATCAGGTAAGACATGTATAGAGATAAATCGATGACAGCCCGCCGTGAGCATGCAACTTAACAATCAGTCCCGAGTTATCTTCATATACGTCTAATATAAATATTTTTGACTTTAACTAGATTCCAAGTAAGGGGATGTATTCCCCTGGCGGCAGATATGCAAAAGCTATAGTTAGGGCATTGCAACTATAGATGACGCTCCTTGGCGGCTGGAAATTGAGAATTTCGTCTCGTGATACGCTATGCCGAAATGTTTTTTTGTACCTGGTGATTCTTACACGAAAAAAACTATCAAATAGCCGGCTGACCAGCGTGCGATTTTTTACTTTTCATCTTCGTTTTCGCTACTTTTAGGTACTTTACCTTACCAAGTGGCAAGTGCCCACCTACTTTCAAAAGATCGGCGCCGCCCCTGTCATATCCAGCAGAAAGAAGCTGCGTGCTATCACCCATTGGCAGTGAGAAATACCTATTGCTCAATGGCCATCGCCCAGCACCATTTGTCTTTCCATTGGCTACGTTCGCATAGTAAGTATGCACTATGCATTAGTGATGTCAATCACAGAAAATCAGAACACCGATACCAAACCAAATACAAACCAAAACCATTGGAAAATACTGAAACCGAACCGATCGGTTGGACTGCAAACATTTATCTTATGCAACATGTTCATTAGAAGAATACTTATCTCTGATTTCTTAGGTGCACGCCGTTGCAAATGTATCCAAAAAACGTATATTTTTTATAAATTTAGTCCGAATGGCTGAATGGGCGGATTTGAGGAATCAGAGCCCGCACTAAGCATAGCTTGTTGTGCTGACCCTGACCCCACCACCCGATCGCGCAATTCCAGTTGTATGGCAGAATTTTGTCCGAACGTTTAACGTGCCCTCACGACTGGACACGGTCCCCTCCGCTCACTCACGTTACCTGGCTTCTGTGCGGCCCCTGCCACAGACACGCACGCCATTACACGTAGGAGCTAAATGTGGCCGCCCGCAACGGGGCTTGAACCGGGCTCTCACTTCCGGCTAAGCGTCGAATTCCGGCGCTTTTATCCACTCGGCCACGGAGAGGACTATAATGACAGATGACACGAAAATTGAAGCCGCCGAGTGGATTCGAACCACTAACCTCCGTACCACCAGTTTGATACTCTAACCACTTCGCCGCGGCGACTATATATGTTAGACAGCTTAAATATCGTAAAGTTAAAACCTAGCTTCAATAGACGCCACGAAGGGCAAGGACTGAACGTATGATGCCACGTTGACGTCACTCAAGAGGCACGCTATTGGTTGGCCGATTCGTGTAATACACTTGGCGAATACGCGTGCGGGTCACACCGGCGGCAAACTCACGGACTCTGTGCGGGTCACACCGGGCGGACGGACAGACGGAGCGACGGACGGACGTCTCTGTATGTGTCAGACAGACAGACAGACGGCCAGACGGCCAGACGGCCCTCTTTGCTGGTGGAGGGAGGGCGGCCCGGAGGCGCCCCCCGCGGCCTCTTACCCTGACACTGGCGCGCCTCCGGTCCCAGCACGTAGCCGGCCGGGCACTCGCAGCGGAAGCTGCCCGGCTCGTTGACGCAGAGGCCGATGCAGAGGCTGCCGTAGCTGAGCCCGCGCGCCTCCTCGCACTCGTCGACGTCGACGCAGCTCCGTCCGTCCGAGTGCAGTCGGTAGCCGTTGTCGCAGGCGCACCGGTACGAGCCCCACGTGTTGTGACACTGCTGGTGGCAGATCCCGGGCCGCTCCTCGCACTCGTTCATGTCTGCGGCCGGAACCGGCAGTGGTTAATCACAGCACCGCGAATGGGGTAAAGGGACCCCATCCACCTTCAAAAAAGCTAATGAATGTGCATAAAAGCGATGTCCCATGGTTCAGAAGAATCAAAAATGAAAATCTACCAAATTTCACCGAAAAATATTCACTGGTTTTAAAATATTATACTTTTACTTTTGTTTACCTTTTGGGACCTCCGCTGTTCCTACCAAAATTCTTACAGATAACGTTGGGACGCCAGTCGCATGTTTTTTAATCCCACCCAGAAATGACAAACAAGCCCCTGATTGGCCAGTTGCCGGCCAGTTGGACTTGAGCGGTCGCCATCGGGGAGTCGGCCGGCGTCGTTAGGTGTTGAATTATGTGTTTCGTTGTGCCAGATATTGCCAATTTGCTTTGATATTTGATAAATAACGTTGGCTTTTTCTTTGGTGACCTTGCATACTAATACTCGTACGACGATATTTTGGTGCCGATTATTATGCATTTACATCTTGAGACAAATGTGGCGATTTCCACGCCCCTGCGATACCAAACGAAAGCTCCTTACGAGACAATTCTAAAGCACCTAAAATTTTTGACCTCAGGTCAATTTTCAAGGTCAGAGGTCAAGGTCAAAGGCACAAACCGGCACATGTGTAGTGATCTCAAAGTAAGCGTTCTAGAGGACGGCAGCATACATCAAACCGGCAAAATTGGGTGTCAAACGAAAGAAGAGAATTTGAGGATTCCGAAACTGTGCTCAAAATCTAAGATCAAGTACAAGGTCACGCTCAAAATTGACCTCAAACTTTGCACTTTTTCGTACATCTTGCGTGCTAACTTCCAAGGTATTTTGAAACGTTTTGAGGCTTATCAGTTCCCTATTTGTGGTTCATCTTACGATACAAGGCTGATCAAAGGTCAAGGTCACAGAAGAGTATCCCTGCTAGAGGCTATTTCACTGATTCAAGTTAGAAATAATAAATAAGACAATTTTCCCCTCCGGAAGCTCTCAATGAAGGCTTAGAGGAAAATAGATGCCAGATTCGTGATCAGCGGGTACAAATCCATCATAGGCGACCTTTCATGTGTCAAGGTCAACCAAAGGTCATTCGAGGTCACATGAGGTCAACATAAAACTTGACCTTTTCCAAACAATATATATATATATATATATATATATATATATATATATATATATATATATATATATATATATATATATATATATATTATATATTTATTATATATATTTATTATATATATATATATATATATATATATATATATATATATATATATATATATATATATATATATATATATATATATATATATATATATATATATATATATATATATATATATATATATATATATATATATATATATATATATATATATATATATATATATATATATATATATATATAATAATATATATAATAAATATATCATAAATATATAATATATATATATATATATATATATATATATATATATATATATATATATATATATATATATATATATATATATATATATATATATATATATATATATATATACAGGGTGATTCATAGCCGTGTGACCGAAAATAAATGAAAACTACAGGAAATGCATTCGTGTTACATGCCATTCCCAAGTACCATATTAAACAGCCAAATCTGAAGTTTTGATCCATGTATAGCATCAGTCACAAATACTTTTCCTTCGACTCTCACACATCTTTTAGACAAGATGTTCACAATGGCCACCTCGGCGACGGATGCACTCCAGCGCCAGAGCCTAAAGTTGGCGATGGCGCGGACGCACAACATTTCTAAGGAAATAGAACCAAAGCAGCTTCCAATGGCATCCTTCAGCCCCAGAATATCCTGGGGACTCTCCTCATAGATCTCAGACTTTGCTACAGCCCCAGAGGAAGAATTCCACGACATTGAGCTCCGGCGAGTGTGGCGCCCACCTGACCTCAGCGCTCTTTGAAGTCAACTTTCCGGGGTTCGCTTACCAATTTTTTTGTGTGCCTTGTTTATCACTGAACCCGTGCCCTCTGCTTTGAATTGATTAACGATTCTATGAATTGTTATCTTCTTTGGAGTTTCCCTTGGGTGCAAGCCCTCAGACGTGCAGAAACATCTTTGTGTTTGCTTGACGGACTGCGTTAACCTATACAAATTACACATTTTTACTTTTTGCTGCGCTATGTACATCTTGAACGATACACACAGACCAGACCAAGATAGAACAAAACTTCATAAAATTTTCTACTAGCACGTGAAATTTCACGCGGAAATATGCAATCCTCTTCTCAAGAGAGATCAACTAAATAGGTCACATGGCTATGAATCACCCTGTATATATATATATATATATATATATATATATATATATATATATATATATATATATATATATATATATATATATATATATATATATATATATATATATATATATATATATATATATATATATATATATATATATATATATATATATGTTGCAGGCACTTTAGAAAATCAGTCATTTTGTAAAATGCCTAGGCATTTTACAAAAAGACGGCTGTTTGAAAAATGACTGAACGCAACCAGGCTTTTTTCAAAATGGCTAGCCATTTTACAAAATGACTAGGTATTTTGCAAAATGCCTGACCAGCATGGAACGTAGATCCCACTACAGATACTATGGCCAACAGTTTTTGGACGTCTTCCTATAGGTACCCATATAGGTACGTGTTCAGCCTGTAGCTGATCGATTTGAAGCTCTGTGATGACGACAATGCTGAGTAACGACCAGGTTGAGTTGCAGACTCGGCTGTGGCATAAAGCATTGTTTAGTTAACACTGTATGTAGAAAACTCCCAAGTACATCAACGCCGTTCATGTTCTGCCTGAAACTAGACCTAACAAAACCAGCCGGAGACCGGCCCTAGTCAATAGGCAGACCCGGTTGATGTACAATTACATGTAAACGAATGAGTGTAGTCTTTATTTGATTGTGTCTTTGTTTGACAGCTTTGAGTACCTACTTGCATGGTCCCAATTAAAAATATCAAGCTCCACATCGGGAGAATCATCAGGTCGCTTGGCGTAGGACGAGAGCGTTGGTTTCAGAAGACACTAACGCCTAAGTGTGTGGGATCGAATCCTCGCGACCTCTAATGGTTTTACAGATACAGGCCGGCATAGGGCCAGTCGTTTGTTGACGCTCCAGATCGATCATTTTAAATCCAGCAGCGTCGCTGACGTGGGGGTTGGAAATGTCGCGGGCCTGCACTTCTCAAAATAGAGAGAGGCATGTATGGACTTCCCACTGCTGGACTCCTCTGGTCATAATGCTGGACTCCTCGGTCCACCTACACGCTACCAAAACGTATATAATTAGGTACTCGTATCTACAACACGCTGCTCAGTCATTTTGTAAAATGGCTAGGTATTTTGTAAAATGCCTAGGCATTTTGCAAAATGACTGGAGAGTCAGTCATTTTGTAAAATGCCTAGGCTTTTTGCAAAAAGCCTGGAAAATCAGGCATTTTGCAAAATGCCTAGGCATTTTACAAAATGACTGATTTTCTAAAGTGCCTGCAACATATATATATATATATATATATATATATATATATATATATATATATATATATATATATATATATATATATATATATATATATATATATATATATATATATATATATATATATATATATATATATATATCATTCGACGCGGCTTGACAAGACGAATGCGATGGTACCATTGCCGTAGCTCTAGGACCATTTTTGTCGAAGTTATTTGCGAAAAACTAAAACCACATTTCGGGGGCGTTGACCTGATCTCTGACCTCAGGTCACCAAAACCATGGATTACTTACTGGATTGGCAACTGGCCGCATTTTAGCGACCACTGCGTTCCCTGCCATCTAGCGGCGGGAATATCGACAGGGAGGAGAAACGTATTGCGGAAATTACAGCGCCACGCGTTTGCTGTATGTGAGCACGTGTTTCTTTGTGTTGTTGCGTCGGAAAGTTCATCCTAAAAGCGTTTTTATTGACTTTATTGATTATATTGTGAAGCAGGCTCTGGTCAGAATATCGTATGCATTCGGTGAGTATTCGCTTTGACTGTTTTTTCCCTTAAGAAGTGAGTGGGATTGATCACAAGACTCAGCTCTTTCTCTGACATTTCACTTTCAATTTTGCGTTGGATTTTTTTGAGAAAAAAAAAACAGCAGTATTAATAGGAAATTTTTGGATGATTATGCCAATTTGGTCTGTTCTCAAGCAACATATTCGATCAAAGTATCCATATATGTCTCAAGTAGCCCAAAACAGTTCATTGTGATTGCTCATTGCAGATGTAGATGGCAACGGGATTATGTAGTGCCGAGCATTGATAATGTAGAGCGGCAAATAATAATACATATGCAACTTTTTTAAAATAAAATTATGTATTTTCAGGCATCCATGCTGTGGTTATAATTATGCCGAAGGCACGGAATAGCAGCAAGTGGTGTGGAGCCATCAACTGCAAGACGTCGAAGGCAACTCACCCTCATCTCAGTTTTCATGGATTTCCTTCTGATGCCAAACAGTAAGTATTTGTGACAATTACACAACAGCTTGTGATGCAACATTGTTACCTGTCTATTGTCTAAAAAGTATGGCTGATTTGAGTCAAATCTTCATAACAAGACTGACAAGTTAAATGTAACCAGCATATTTTTGCTAAATGTTTTGTGTTACCACTTATTTTTGGAGCTTTAATTTTCATGCTCATTTTCAGTCTCATTCAACTATGTTTTCCAATAAATGTTTTTGAATTTTTAGGGCTATGATGCAGTTGCTTATGAACTATGAAGGTATGATAAACAGTTAAGTTTCTGATCATTTCAGGGCTGGATGAAAGCTGGATGAATGTGTAAGTTGTAACCAATTTTTTATGTTGCCAGGTCCAAGAGGTGGGTGCAGCTGTGCATAAGGAAAGACTTAGAAGACAAGTCTGCAGAGTATCTGGCTGAGAATGTCAGACTATGCACGAAACATTTTGAGCCCAATCAGTATCATCCAGGCAGCAGGCGCCTCAAGCGTGATGCTGTACCAACTGTGTTTGACATTCCGAATCCACCACCAAGAGTCACTGTAACAAGACCTCTGTCTGTACGACAACCGCCAGAGGAGAAGAAGTTCAAGAAAGGTGAGTGGTGCAAAGGGTGGTGACCAGTAATACCTATTTCGTTTAACCTATTTTGTGTTTTTACATTAACCATTAAATTTCCTGATCAAGGATGAGCTCGTGCTGTCAGACACCCTTTGACATTTCCAGATCTATATACTTGCTGATTGAAGTACAAGCATATAGAAATGGATCTTAATAGGCTTGATTTTGTGCTGATGGTAATATGTCTGTGCATTCAGTCTAAAACCCAGAATCTGTGTAAAATATAGTTGTCTCTGATCAGGGATATTGATTGAAGCTGCTGATATCCATCTTGCCATTCCTGGTTTTAAGTATCTTTCATCTTTCATAGAACCTTTTCTGTTCATCGTCCATAAATGTGATTTTGATTCATGTGGTTACATTTCATGATCAAGTGGATGCTACACATAATATGTTTCAGTGTTGTGAAAAATAGATGTATGTGCTGGATGCTGTGGCTTAGGCTTCGTATAGATAAAAAGTACAGATGCATTGTTTTTGTGTTTCAGGCAATCCAGTGGAACCAGCCATGGATTGGGGTGGTCTTTCGACCGTCATGGAGGACTGGTGCGAGAGTGGAGACGCAACCAACCAAGCCAGTGCGGATGGACAGCAGTCTTCTCCACCTGACAGTGAGTCCTGTTCAAAGGAAAATGTTGATGTCGAAGCATTGAACAGGAAGTTAAAAGCACAAGGGGCAGCTATCAACAAGCTGCGCTGCAAGACCCAACCGGCAAATAACGTGCTCAAGGAAGATGAAGGCAAAAATCAACACGCAACAGGCAGTTGAACACCTGGCAACAGTAATGCCAGAAAAGATGATGCTGTTTACAAAAATGCAGCTGAAAGCAGTATCATCCAAGGCTCATGGTCGTCGGTACTCTGACTCAGAACTCATGGAAAGCCTGGCACTCTTCTACCAGGGGGCACGTGCCTACCGCCACCTGAGGCCACGGCTTGGCCTTCCCAGCCCAAGGGTGCTGCGCCAGAGGATGGAGCATATACAGCTGCTCCCTGGCTTCCACGAGACGATCCTGGGGTTTCTCAAGGAGAAGCTGAGGGGAGCGCCTGCAAGTGACCGGAGAGTCGTCATTTCCTTCGACGAGATGCAGCTCAGAGCGAAGCTGACGTACCTGCGTGGGGAGGACAGGGTCGAAGGTTTTGAAGACTTTGGGTCGTTCGGCAGGACAGGCCGCTTCGCTGACCATGCCCTGGTCTTCATGGTGCGCGGCATCAGCTCCAGATGGAAACAGCCTATTGGATATTTCCATAGTGCTGGCACAACACCTGCCTCAGTACTAGAGCAGCTGCTGGTGGCGTGCATTCGAAAGGCACGGCAAGCTAACCTGGAAGTCATCAGCACAGTGTGCGACATGGGAAAAGCGAACCAGGAGGCAGGAGCTCTACAAGAAAAGGCTTGGCGTCACAGAAGAAAACCCGGTTTTCAGCGTGGACGGTGTTCCAGTAGTCGCCATGTATGACCCACCGCATCTGATCAAGTGCATCAGGAACTGCTTGTTGCGGCATGACGTCCATGTTGATGGTTCTGTGATGAGCTGGGAACATGTGAAGGAGCTGTACCAGATGGACCGAGACAGGCCTGTTTCGGTGGCACCAAAGCTGAAGAAGGACCACGTCTTTCCGGGACCATTCAAAAAGATGAAGGTCAAGCTGGCCACCCAAGCTCTCAGCAGAACTGTCTCCGCTGGACTGCATTTGTATGCGGCAGTAGGTGAGTATTTAGGCAACATTTGCCTTCACGAACGTTAGTTTCCTGATATTGAACGCATATTTGCCATATTTATTAGTCTTACCAATTTCATTCGTGCTAATATGTATCGAAACTTCCACAATACGCAAAAAAGTTATGCTGACGACTGTGTTTTACAGCACCACTCGAACTCTTCAACGTCTTCCTCTGCTTTTATTGTAGATATTGGAACAATTTTTCCCATTTAAAGATAGGCGAAGTGTGTCACAGTGCTAGAAAAAGGCTGTCGTAACAATGCATTTTCATTTTTTATTGTCCACAGGCCTCCTGGATCAGGCGTGTACGGCAACAGCTGATGGACTGCTCAGGCTGAACGACATGTTCGACGTGTTGAACAGCAGCAGGCTGGTGGAGCAGTACCAGTTCAAGCGAGCGCTGACGACCTCAACAGAGCAAGAGCATCTGCGCGTCCTCAATGAAGCTCGTGAGTGGTTAGGTCGCTGGACTGTGCCAGATGGTCCACTGCCCGATAGCATACGGCCCCCGCCGAAGGTAGTTGGTAGCACTGCTGCTCCACGGCGTACATTTCCTACCAGCCCATAGGGTTTACATGTTAAATGGCCTGTTTTCAGCGAGCGATATCTCGGTCAACCTTTGAAGGAATCAATGGTTCTTAGTCTCAAATGATAGATCGATGAATTTTCTTTCGACAATTCCTCTACCATTTTTCACGATACCCAGCCGATCTTCTACGGCGTACAGGGTAAAGATTTCTCTGCACGCCAGCACCCGCGATCCGCCTCTCCGATCGTCGGCGCGCGGTCCTCGGTAGCGCAGTCGGTAGCGTATTGGGCTACGGATCCGAGGGTCGTGAGTTCGAATCCTGTGAGCGCCGCGTGATTTCGGCTAGAATCGAATGATGTAGATTCTTGAATGTTTGCATAATCAATTATGAATAGCTAATAGAATGTATCTGCCCACTAATCGGCCCCTAAAACCTGTTATTTTAGAAATTTAAGAAATGAATGTCACGTGCGCGTCACAACTGCCGACCATAAGCGCTACCATATTCTAGTTTGAACTAACTTTTTGCTAGTCCCGACCACATATAGTAGGTTTTCTAGTAGATATACTAGAAATGCCTACCAAAGTTCGTCCTACCCGTCACTCAATATACCCTGGATAGCATAGGCGGTTTGATGCTAACTCTCGACGCAGTCGAGAAAGTGTGGGAACAAGTGAAGGACTCGGGCCAGCTCTTCACACGCAGATTAAATCAGGATGCTCTTGAAAACTTTTTCGGTGTAATTCGTCAGGCCGGTGGTGACAATTACAAACCGGACCCGTCGCAGTTCAGGCAGGCGTACCGAAAGTCCGCTGTGAACAGTGTCTTGTGTCCCTCTGTGAACGGCAACTGTGAGCCGGATACTGATGGTCTGCTGGCTGCCTTCACATCAGTGGCCGCTCGCACAGACTGTCCCGTGCCGGCAACAGTGGCGCATGTGTCCATCGAGCCGCCACCGGCCCTGGCAGTGGAACCGAGCGCGGACGACGTGACGGACAATGTGCTGACGTACATAGCTGGGTATCTGTGCGCTAAGGGTTCTGCTACCCACTCGTGTGCTATGTGCAAAGCGGCTCTACAAACCAACCGAAGTGTCGCTATGCACGACCGGGAGGCGTTAACAGCCTTGAAGAGCTTCACGGGCGAGGGGCTATTAGATGTGGGGAGCCTTGTGCTTCCCACCGACACATTTTTTAGTGTTGTCAAGGCGACGTATGAGGCCGTGCAGCACTCCCCCGAGAGCTTAATGTGTCGCCCGCGGCTGGGTGAGCGCTTGGTCAGTGATATGCTGTCAAACAGTGTCTCGTTGCAGCTCAAGGGCGCTATGTGTGACAGTAACGCGCTCGAGGCGATGGTAGCAACGTTTGTTCGGCTCCTTATTCACCGTCGCTGTAGTGCGATGACCAGTGCGTCAGTTCAGAGGGGCACAAACAAACAAAACCGAAAGTACGTTAAGGTTTCAAGGCGTTTGTAGGTCGGTGCGTCACGGAAGCTGTGAATGACGGGTCTGATCAATCCTTGCAATTGAAATGGGTGCTGTTTGCGTGTATATAGTTATTTAAGTGAGTGCTGTGCCAAACCAAACATTGTCACGTTATCACACATTGTTGATTTGTATAGCTATGTTCTGTGTCTTCGATTATTTCGGGATTATTTCGTGAGCGAGGTCTCATGACCAGCCAAGGTGAAACGAACGAGAGTGTCCGTCGTAACACGTCGCGGCTGTGTTGCTGTAAGAACACGCATCGTATGCTGTGTTGTATTTGTGCAGCTGCTTGGGCGCACTTCAATTGCCTTCATGTTGCCGTTATGTTTTACTGTTGTTTCCAGTGTTTCACGACAGCCGCCACATGCATTACTTTGTTTCTGAAAACAAACGAAATACCTACTACTACTTGAGTTTATAACCCACCTGACGTATATTGAAAGTGAACGGTGAAACCGGTGGGGATGGAACACAGATAGTGGCATTGGTGATGACGGGAATGTGGTGCAAGCCACGTCAGATGTCCACTTCCCTATTTACTTGGGATTAGAAGGTCTGACTTCTGTAACATATGGCAAGCAGGTAATCTCGCTAACGACATCGGTTTCAAGCGTTTCCCACAACCCTCAGGACATTTGATACCGTCCTGGTTGGCAATAAGCCACCTATTAATACTATTTTATGCGTACAGTCCATTTTAATACACATACAAAGTCGTATCTTCATTAGTCCCGTATCGGTGCCAGTGCCCAACCAGTGCCAACAGCAACGCGGTGCGCCGATCTCCTCCCTGTCGATAAATCTGATCATAGATGGCGCTGTCTCTGCGTGGTCGCGGGGAACAATGGGAAAGGGACGGAGTTGCCAATCCAGGTTAGTAATCCATGCCAAAACTATTTTCTATTTTTCTCTACGCCAAACGCTACACAACCATGCTCGTAAATTGTCTTTATCTCTAAAACTCTATTTTTAGCAGCTATTTGAAGTTTGCCTTTGTTACGCCGAATTGGTTGCCGTGCAGGGGTCTAGAAAAATGGACCCTGTGACGTCATCGAGGGGGCTAGGTCTAAATTTTTTACTTCAGAAGATGTGAAATTGGTTGGAGAAAAGGTACTGAAAGTTTCGCTTTCCTATCCCTAAGCGTTCGGGAGCTATCGCAAATATTCGCCAGGGGGGGGGGGGCGAAAAACGCCCCCCCGGGCCTGCGAGGGTTAACAGGCTTGTAAGAACCAAGTGAACCATTTTTTAGTAGAGTGGTCATGATCGTCCAGGGACTTTAATAGATAATAGTCTTGCGCAAACTTATTAGGTACTGGAGGAAGCAAAATGTTACGATTTTGGGGTACCTACGCAAAGTTGATATTACAACATCCCAGGTTTTTTTGGCTATATAAAGTGAGAAGGAAAGTTCAATTAATCATTTTTATTACAATTGCAATAATGATAATCTCATGATAATCGTACTGTCAGGTATTGATAATAGTCATGTCACGTCATACCGCTAACCACACAGACACAACACATTTTCATCTTTATGTATCTAGGCAATAGGCATAAGGTATTACAGGCACGTTTTTGCACACCTCTTATGTGCAAGTGGGCATGCATGACCTCCTTCACAGACAAATTTTGACTGATTGTGCTCAAATTTTGTAAGTAGGTACCTACATGTAAAGGGAATAGGGATGCAGTTACAGACTAAAGTTAGTCGGACACTCTTCTTAATTCAGTTTTGTACACCGATTCCTGCTTTCACACATGCTGTGCCAACCCCGCTTTACAGTGGACAGCTGCTTCTGTGACACACACTAATCTTGCGTTCATTGAAACACTTAGTTTTGAGTGTTTTGACTCAGTTTTGTTGTAACGTGATTAAGTGATACCTTTGTTTATGCTCTCAATAACTTGTTTTGGGCTTCTCATATTTTTTTCTTGGCTTAGCAGGTTGAGTGTAAAACAAGTTTAAGATGAAATATTTACA